CTACTTTCGCTTGCTCCCTTATTCACAAGGGGTCGCCACAGCGGTGAGGTCTGCATGTTTGATTTGGCTGATTTTCTTTTTTACACCGCATGGCCTCCCTGACGCAACCCCAAAGGAATTTGTGAACCACCTACACGTAAAAAACAGCTAACAAAAATAAAAGAACAAATTAAAAAAATACTTCAAATACAAGTGCAGCTTAGTTGATCAACCACAATAAACACGACTGCTGTGTTCCAGGTTCGTTCCAGGCCCCGTGGTGCAGTTTGGGCGAGTGTGGGGAACAGTACTGCCTAGTGTGGGAGTCACGCTTCCTCAGGGATCTGGGCTCAGCCATGACGTCTCTCTTGGATGGGCTGGTCAGCATGGTGGCTCAGGAAGCCCTAAAGTACACTGTGCTGTCAGGTAGGACCGCTGTGCAAGAAGCTCTTGTTGGTGTTATCTGATGTGAGCTGATGGGATGTGAGTAACCTTTGGAACCAGTAGTCATCCTTTACAGTTTCGACTGCTTTCTAACAATTCCCATCAGGGATTGTGACGGCGTTGACGTGGCCTGCGTCTTTGCTGGCAGCAGCCAACGTCATCGACAACCCCTGGTGTGTTTGTCTGAACCGTTCCGCCGAGGTGGGGAAACACCTGGCACAGGTTTTGAGAAGCCGACAGCAGGTAGCCTTTTATTTGGTATCTTTGTTAATACAATCTTATCGCCACATCACTTCTCACCTTTCATCTGCTCGATGCAGTAGAATTTCAAAGCCTTAGAAGAAAGAAGGCTGTATGGCATGCAGCAACATGTGTGCGCTTCACCTGTGGTGCCTGTGTACACACTGTTCACCGGATTACATTAACCAGGATGACTCTGTTATTCACTACATTCATTGCTTCTCTAAATTGTTTTTCTTTACTATGAATATGCCTGTGTTCACTAAACAGCAGGAAAATTAAAGCTACTCACCGTTCCTTTCATGTGTTTGAAGGGGAAGCGGCCCGTCAGCCTCATAGGTTTCAGTCTTGGAGCTCGAGTTATCTATTACTGCCTGCAGGAGCTCGCCAGTGACCGAGGTGCAATTAGAGGATGATGATGGATACATTTCTACTTTGTATCCCGCATTTTTCAGACTCTAAAAATTCATCTGTGTTGTTTTTGAATCCTCAGGTAGTGAAGGAGTAGTGGAGGATGTGGTCCTCCTGGGGGCCCCAGTAGATGGATCTGAGAAGGCCTGGGAGAGAATGGCAAGAGTAGTAGCTGGAAAAATAGTAAACGGATACTCCAGGTAAGGAAGAGCTCGTTCCTGATTTAAAAATCCAGAAATGAAACCTTTTTTTAACAGTAAATGCTTGCAGATGCTTTATGCTTTTGTTGTAGTAATTATTTAGCCAGTAGGTGAGCTGAGTCCATTTATGTTCCTCATGCAACTTTGCAAACGACTGTCACAGCAGCAAGATGTATTTTTCAATGACTGCATGAATAAAGGACTCTCTGATCTACATACCTATCAGAGGGGACTGGCTCCTGGGATTCTTGTACCGAAGTTCAGCTGCACAGCTGTCTGTTGCTGGCCTGCACCCAATCAACATCCAGGATCAGCGCATAATCAATGTCGATCTTTCCTCAGTGGTGAGTCAGAGCCTGTGTTTGAAATCTGATGAAGTACACCTTGGTAAATTAAAACACGGCTGAAGGTAAAGGAACTGGAATTTTAAAGTATTCAAAGAGTAAGAAAAACCACATGCAGTGCATTGTCTCAAATTTGGTCTGGTAGGGGGTCAATTTATGTTTTTGAAATAATAGAAGCAGCACCTGAATAATTCATGAGAGGGAAATGAAGTAGCTCATTCCTACATGAGAAGAAATTCAGACAAAAGATCTGTAGCTACTCTTCCATATTCATGTATGACATTTCAAAAGGAACATTGACTTTTGATTTCATACCACATAACCATCACATCAGGTAGCTGTGCGTTTCCAGATTTGCTTGTGCACAGCCCTAATCCACAGCTTATATAAGTTTTGTCACATCAAACACAATACTGACATATTTTCACCCTGTAAAGTTGTTATACAAAACACTTGCTATTTACACATTAAGCAGATACAGAGAGAGCGTGAGTGTCGTCTCCTTTGACTCCTGAGGGAACCATCTGGATGTTTAAGCGCAAAGCAAATACACCGCAGCGATCACCTGGGGACTGTTCAGGAAAACAGGTTCACTGGAAACTCTGGGTTTCCTGCTCCTGAAAGAAGGCTAAATTAAACTCCATGTGTGCTCCTGGAGTTTGAAGCTTTAGACACACACAGGATACTGATTAATAGATCAAAGTTCAGTAAATGTAGTCTTTAAATTTAAAAACAACATCTCAACATTCACATCAAATGCAGACATCTCTTCTACTACTAATAACCAAATTGATTATTCCTGTGTCTGACTCTGTCGTATCTTTTTGATTTCCATCTTGAGCTGCTGTTATCAGAGTAACAGCTGAATGATTATGTTTAAAACTTCATAATTTCAAGTCTGATAAACAATGGCTTGGTGGATGACATGCTTTTTTAAAATTTTAAATAAATGTCATGGTCTGCACTGGCATACAATTGTATTTCTGGCCCTACTGGAGTAACATGGAGGGTCTGCTTTTTATTTACCAGTTGCCATGGTGACTCTTGCTCGCTGAGGTCCACTGTTGATCAGGGTGAACACGGTCAGATTTAATTGAAAAGTTTCCCCTCTCAGATATAATGACCTCAGTGTTCAGGGTTAGAGTCAAGAGTTTTCAGCCTGTTAAACCTGCTATACACCCCAGCTAGTCGCTAACTGTCTTCTGCTGTTACCCACATTGGAGTACTAGTACCATTAAGGGTACTTTGGAGTACAGCAGAAGGTAAGGTTTCTTCATTGTCAATATAAAAATATGCATCAGTAATGGATCATTTCTAAAATAACTGGACGCAGCAACTGTTGTAAGCTCTCAGCTTAAGTATCCAGTGACATCACGAATCAGGATTTTTGTTCAAAACATGGCAGCAGTGTTTCTGCAAACACAAAGAAAGCAGCGATCCTTGTGTGACCCCTTTACTCTCTAATAACTGATCTGAGGAAGGTAAGGGAAACACTGTGTCTCATTTTATCACTGCAATTTAAAAAAACATATTTTTTACTAGATTTAAAAGCTCATGGTGTCGTGGTTTACACAACTGACTAACAAGCAAAAGATCTCCAGTTTAATCCCAGGAGAGACACAAATCCTGTTGGGGTTTTATCAGGAAAAGCACCTGGTGTTAAAATGTCTGCCAAATCCAGATCATGTGGAGTTAACCACTGTGGCTTGTCAGTTAGTACTTGGCTGAAAACAATAAATAAAGAGCTTACATTAGTGGAAAAGAAACCTGAGAACCAGTGTGTACTATGTATGACTGAGCTATTGGGTCTGAAACCAAAATAATAAGTTAAAAGGGGTCTTTTAGGAGTAGGGATTAAAGGAATAAACAGAGCAAAACTGTTACAGACAGGTATTTGAGACGATGGATCACTGCAACTTTACATCTTATTTTTGGAAGAAACATTTATTTAATACTTAATACAAAAATTGAAGGTTTTCCAATAAGATTTAGGTTTCTGTAAGTGAGGCAGCAATATTAAATACTGTTTTATTAGCATATTAAAAGAAAGAGTTGTTTTGTTTAAATATAGCTGAAATTTATGAAAAACAAGGCCCCCGCTGGTCTGTTTCACATCACAGCAATGATTTTCTACTAACATTCAAGTCAACACAACTACTCATCATCTGTAGTAGCTCCAAGTAAAGCATTAGAGGTTTCACATGTTACTCGAGTAAAGGTTTAAGCCACAGCAGTAAAAAGATACCTGACATGTCTGAAGCACCATACAGCACATACCCGGTCATGTAATGAGGAGAACAGGATAAATGAATCGTACAAAATAACACATTTGTGCCTAAATGTTTCTTTAAAAGAACAAAAAATAGGTAGTATATGAATGAGGTTTTAATCATGGATAATAGCACTGTATTCTTGCCTCCTAGGTTAAAGGTCACTTGGACTACATGCGTCAGATGGACACCATCTTGGTAGCAGTAGGAGTTCCCACTAAAGAAGTGCCGGGAACCTCTTTTGCAATTCCTCAATATGTAACAGTGGCAAAGGGGACGGTGGACATCGCTGGCCAAACCACCAATGAGCGACAAGCGGCCGAGACACAAAACCACACTGAGAAGCCTGAGACGCAACAAAGCAGAGATGCCAAAGAGTTGGCAGAGACGGAGGAGACTGCTGACGGTTGGGATATCCCTGATATTTCAGATCTGCTGGACTCATTAAACGATACAGAATCAGACAGCAAAATGTCACCGCAGAAAAATTCACCTCGTATTTCAGACGAGAAGGCTCCTAATAACATCACAGCCACTGATGTGAATGTCCGGTGTGACGGTGTAGACAAGGACGACCGGGATAATGAACACATATCATGGAGCTGGGATGACACACATTGGACTACAGAGAACTCGCACAAGTGAAGGCGGCCAAACTTGTAAAGAGCATGTTACTGGACCGGCTGCTTCCTTGTAAACTCTTCTCAAGTTTGTTTGTTTGGATTTTTGTTTTTTTGTTTTTTTGTTATTGGAGAAAATATTCATTCCATTCTCAACAAAGTAACATGAAAGAGACTGCACAAGAATCGACACACACATACGGCAGCTTCTAGTGAAAATCCCCCAAATGAAGTGTTTTGTTTGACTGCTTAAACACGGGTTTAGATGTATTGATTGAATGATAATTTTGGTTATTGTAGATAACTTTTTTTTTTATAAAAATGTAAATATGGTCATAATTTATTTTACAAATGTGCTGTGAGTATTAAAAAGCAGTCATGTTTTGTGTGTTTCCGGTTGAAATAGTTTCTGTTTGCTTGGTTTGGGATATTATATATAGTGTGATTCCATATAGATAGCAGTGATTCCACAAATATGTCTTCTCTATGAGGCTTTTTTCCTGTCCTGTTCTATAAGACTCTCACAGTAGTGATTCACAGCTTACTATAGAATTGCATTCTCCACTGGCACTGACAATTGGAAATATTGTTGACCCTGACACTGGCTGAGAGCGAGTAGACCTAACAGAATGTGAGCATAAAATAAATAGATTCTTTTTCAATGTCTCTTCAGCCCAAGCCTCACAGTGAATAAGTCAGATTGTTACCAGCTATCGCGCTTTTCCACTGTAAACCCTGATATACCCTATAAGCTATCTTTAAGTACTATTCAGTCCAAAGTGTCAACCTGGTTGGGGAGAAGGAGAGGCAACTCAAGCCCAGCGTGCTCGGCATCCAGCAGATTGACAGCATCAGTGGCGGTGGCGGGCGGGTGCGTGGGGTCAGAAGCCAGAGGTGAGGGTGGATTGCTAGCAATGTTGGGCTCTCCCGAGTTACGCAGAGAGAGCGAGAGCGCCGGTGAGGGTCTTCGGGGCGACCGCGAAGAACAGCAGGGCAACAGCTTCCCCAGAGCTCGCTTGAAGTCTCTCATGAACAGCGGGTAGATGATGGGGTTGATCGTACTGTTGCAGTAGCCCAGCCAGGTTATGGCGTCAAAGAGCGCAAGGGGGACGCACTCACACACTGCCTGGATGAGGATGGTGACAAGGCAATCCAGGCGTTAGGGTTTAACAACTTAATGTAAGAGAAAAAGTTTAATACAAAAACACATAAAACATAAATGGACAAAATGAATAACAGCTACTAGATGACACAAATATGCACTGCCACATGCTGCAACTAGTGCAAAATTGTACTCATAAAAGATTGATTTAGTTGTTAAATGCACCAGTACTGCCAGATTGTACCTAAATATAAGAAAGAATTAGTAAAACATTAGGAAAAAACTAATCTCTTAAAGTAAATGTGTTTTCATATCATGCACAGATGTGTGCACAGACACAGATGATAATGCATCAACAAACATTACAATGTAACACAAAGCTAAGGAAGTAGAAGACTATAAACAACGGGCAATGAATGAAAGAACATGCTTGTGTATTAGCTTTATTACATTATAACATCTATTGAATGTTTATTAGTTTAATAAGCACATTTTTTTGCCAAGTTGTATATTTTATTGACCTAATTTACAGCCCACATTTATTTGTTTATTATGAAATTGTTGAAATAAAATGAATTAAAATTATATTTACATAGAAAATTAATAATACATGCGCACACATACACAGGTGTATTGCACATACATTTTTCAATAGATGTAATTAATTCAATTAATTGACATTTTTAAAATCGACTCAATGTCATGCGTTTTACCCTAAAAACACTCTATATGTGTGCAGCCCTAGATGTATGATTTATTTACTTTGAGAACTCGGTACATAGATGCATCGTTTATTTTCTCTGTCTGGCTGTTAAGAAAACTGATCTTGAAAATAACCAGTAGGTTTGGGGAGCGACAGTGAAGAAGGGGACAGCTGTTAGAGGAGAGCTTCCAATACTATCAAGATGAGGCAGGGAGGCGGTGGGAATGGGACAGAAATGGGGGGAGTTCGTTTCACACACCACATTGAGTGCGAAAAAGAAAGGAAAGCGCAGGCACAGTCAAGTCTCTGTGCTCTGTGTTATGCAGGGGAGAAGTGAGAGGGCACAGATGGGAAATCAAAATGACTGGATCACTGAAAGCTTGAAAAAAACAGGACAAGTGTCATTACCAATTTAGATTAAGCTGTTTTCTGACATTCGTTTACTCTCGGCGAGGTTTTTCGGGGTCCTCCTTGTTTGTTTGCTGAGTAATAAGTGTGTATATTCATTCAGTCTAATCAGATCGAAATCACTTTGAAAAGAGTACCAATTATAAATGGTACTTTTGTAGGCTGTTTTCGAGGCTTTAGGAATGAGTCAGCCACACAAAGCTGAAATGCCAATCTATTTCCTCGTTAGATCGCCTGGCAAGGCTGTGACGCCAAGGCTGGCCAACACAAAAATAGATCAGTATCCAAGTGTTTTTTTCTCTCTTTTTTTCTTCTTTTTTTCATGTATTTCACACTCTTTTCGTGCCCACCATGTTTATAAAATTGTGAGAGTACCTCTGAATCACTGAGATAGATGCACTGAGTCTTAATAAAGACTAAGATGCTCAGGGATGTTGCATATATGTGAAGCCAACGTGGATTGAATGAAATTATTTTTCTTTTCTAGCTCATCTGATCACAAACTATTTAATAATTCCTTTACATATGTTTATGTAGCAGATGCATTTTTTTCCTCTATGACATCTCTGTGTCATTAGTGATGGAGACAGCCTCCGGTACTCCTACTGACCTCTGCCATGTTGGTGATGAAGAAAGGCAGCCAAGCACTGAAGAAGAGTCCCAAGAGGACTCCCAGAGTCAGACTGGCCTTGAGTGCCCTCCGACCCTGCCTGTGAGCCAGGCGACGCTCGCTGTTCACTGACGGCTGTGGACAGGTGGTTATAATACAGATCCTTAATCTCAACAAGCACTGATATCATGTAAATCCTCTTTGGCATTAGTTATTCAAATCCATTTTGGCTCCCTTTGCAGTTTGTCCAAAAGTCTTGAGCCACATCTCATATTTAAAAATACTTTGGCATAAAAACTGTCAATATGTGCTCCAATTTATTGAAAAGTGCAAACATGCAAGAAAATAATTTAAAAGGCAAACTTCTGATTACTTTGAAAGTCAGTATTTGGCATGACCATCTTTATTCTTCAACACAGCTGAGCTTTCTAAGCCAAGTTTTCTCCAGGCTTCTTGAAGGACAATCAAAGTTCTACTTTAGATGTTGCTGTCCTTTCTCTCTAGATCATCCCACACTGCTGCAGTAATGTTGAGGTTCGGGCTCTGGGGAGGCCAATCCATGACTGGTAGTGTTCCATTGTGTGTTTTTCTATCCAGGCATGCTTTTACTGCATTGGTAGTGTGTTTGGGATCATTGTCATGCTGTCATGCATGGTGAAACAAAATCTGACAACACTTTTCTATGTTCATTATTCCATCCGTGTTGACAAAGTATCCCAAACCAAGTATAAAATGCAGTACCAAACCATGACAGAGCCTCCAGCTTTCTCTGGACTCATCACTCCATTACATCTGTTGCTACTGATGCAAGTCGCTTAACAAACAAAATTACATTCCTAAAAATGGTAAGGCACAAAAAATGGACTGTAAATGAGCGAAAAGGAAGCAATGAGAAAACCTTTGAAAGTCCTTCAGAAAGTCTAAAGAAAGTCTGGCTCCTTGGAAGCAAATTATAAAGAAATGAGTGCTGGCTCAAGACTTTTGCACACCATTGTATTTGTTTGATTAGTGGTTTTGCTTGAGTTCTTCCTTTTTGTCAAATCAAAATAATTTTCAGAGTTTGCGGAAACATATTTATTCACTTCATCTTAAGAATACTGTATACTGTACTGTCATTTCAGTCATTATAAACAGAGACTGTGTAGTTAAATATCACCGAGCTCCTCAGAGGTTTGCATCCAAGAGCTGGAACAAGCTGATACATGATATGGAGGATACAGTGAAGATGCTGATTTTAAAGGCTTGATGCCTTTCTCCTTTCACCTGAGTCGCTAAAGAGCAAACTTGTTTTCAGTTCATTTACTATCTGCAGAATTATTTTTAACACTGTGTACTTGCTCTCTTCTTTTTCACAGTTTTAATTTCATAAAAGACATAGCCAGTAAAAATCGAATAAGATAAGGACACGTTTGAGCTGCATTCCTACCATTGATTTGAATCCTGCTCTTTAAATGTTCACATTCAAGGACACTTTCCACCTCTTAGCAACAGTCTTTAACATCACCACAATGTCCTTACTATGCCGAGAGAGTTTCATGTCAATAGATTCATTGGTAAGGCTTTAGGCTTATCCTTTTCATCCATTCATCCTTTTCTGTGCTTTTTGTTATTATTTGGTCGGCAGCAATACACTGACAGCCTTCGCTCTGTTACATTTAACTGTTTGGTGTCTCTTTTTCTTACCGGCATGTTTTGTGACACAGGAGGCTCCAAATGGCTGCAGTCATCTCCGTCCTGCTGAGCTTGCCCTGCTGCAATGCCCGGCGAAGGAGGCCGGGAGGGTTCTCCGAGAGAAGGGTGCGGGTGAGGCGGGTGGCTCAGCGCCGCCACCCTCTTTGCCTGCCTGCGTGCCACCAGAAGGATCCGGCAGTAGGTGAAACAAATGGCACTGGAGGGCAGAAAGAAGGTGAGCACAGATGCCACCAGAGCAAAGGGCAGGGTCACCCGCAGACGACACTGGAAGGAAAGGCCACCTGAAGGTGACAGCTGAAAGTAGGATTCTGGGTACAGTTTGTCAGAGTAGGAGCTGATGTTCCCAGTGCTGACCCCAAGAACAGATGAGTGTCCGCTCCTGTGGCCCAAGCTGTGCCATTTCATCTGAATGGGCAGGAAGGAAGCCAACGCTGCCAGCCCCCAAGCAGCCCCTACAAGGATTAACGCCCGAGGCGGGGTCATCCTCTGCTTATAGCGCAGGGGCGAGATGATGAAGAGGTAGCGGTCCAGGCTGATCAAGCACAGGTTCAGGATGGACGCGCTGCAGCACATCACATCAAAGCAAAGCCAAACCGGGCAAAACGCAGGCCACAGCACCCAGGCCCCGCACAGAACGTTGAGCATAGCTGGGGGCATGACCACCAATGCCACCATTAGATCGGAGAAGAACAGAGACACCAGGAAGCAGTTTGAGGTGCAGCGCAGAGAGCGATGGGCAAACACCAACGCAATGAGCAACATGTTGCCACAGATGGTCATTAGGATGATGATGGTCAGCATAAAAGCTAACAACCAAGGGCCGCTGCCGGTGATGTTCCAGGCGCTGGTGCTGGTGGAGCTGCCGTTGTAGCTCCCTAAGGTCCCAGACAAGTGAGAGTCAGCCATGGCACCTGCTGGCAGAAGTCAGTGAACGAGCTCTTCAGGCAGCACTAGATGTTACAGACCTTAACCAGTTCTCCTTTGCAGCAAAAGCTCACATTTCAGGGACATCGTTAAATGGAAAGCCACTGAGGTCTTGTGCTGAGAAATCAGGGTTAACTGAACTGTTCTCCATGGATAAAAATCTCCATCCAGAAATACATCCAGGTGTCCTGGACTTACTTCCACACCCACCAATATAGTGATCCAAATCCCCAGCAGTTTCACTCATCTCTCCATCCTGGCCAGTGTCCCTGTCTCATCCACAGCTAAGAGCCAGAATGAGCCGTTCGATAGCTGACAAGAGGGTTTCGAAGCAGCATGTCACAATGATGACAGGCTCCGGAGGAGGGCACAAAAACAGAAAAGCCTTGAATCGGCATATGAGAGCAGGCTCACTGAAGATGAAGAGAACAAGGATCAATGCTCAAAATTATACCTCACCTCACAGAAGTGGATCTGTCTCTCGCAAGTCCTTTGCTGTGCCTTGCTGAGCTCTGCTGCCTTACACAAGTCCGTTTTATTCTGGGAAACACAGCAAGGCAGCAAAAAGCAGCAGAAAATTGTGCAGCAGTCATTTGTAAGCACCGCTCTGTTCGCGAGTGCTCTACAGGTATCACGGCCATGTAACGCTCGGTCCTGTTAATCCCTGTGTCGGCCACTCCAGCGTGCCTCCCAGCCTGAGCGCACAGCTACTGAGAAGGAGCGTGTCAGAGCATTGAGCCGTTAATGCATAACCATGCACAATCACAGCCAAGATATGCTAATTCTAAATCATAGGAACTAGTGTGGGTGTTTTGTTTAGATTTTTTTCTCCCTTGTTTGGACATGGTGTTTTTAACTACTCTGGAATAACAATTTTAAAAATGTCCGTCACGCCTTGATTTTCTTTTCTCATATGCACTATATACATATATTTTGACACTACTCCACCACCACAGTCACCACCAAAGTGTTTAATTATCAGCCTTAGTTACAAGTTACCTTGCAGTGATTGTGATTGATCCATCATTTATAGGGAGATGACTGTTTAAAACCAATAATACGTAAAACATGGATCAGCTGTATTTGAATGATAACACTGATTGCATTTTAATCTGCCAGTTTCTCAGTAATGCATTGTAATATTTCAGCATATTTTTGTTTGTTTTGGATGACTCACACATTATACCATTAGTGAAGAAATTCCCTATTATATAACAATAACCACTTTACGTCATCTTGTTATTCTCAATGCACAGAGATGACGAGACAACCCCAGAATCCTTCATTTCCTAACAGGAACATTTGAATAGCCTTATAGGACTGCTTTTACATCCCTGCCTCAGCCTTCTTCTCTGACAGTTTTCAGAAAAATTACTTCAAGCACCTTTTTCAAAACTGCATTAACACTTGACTCCTAACCCCCTACCCCTCCTCAAGTGTCATTATTACTCCTCAGAGTGTATGAAGTATAATCTAGCTGATGTAACGTATTACACAATCCTCATCTTTGTACCACTTGGTTAAACATGATTTGTACACAATTACATACCTTACAAAGCATGTATGGAACAGCTTATTATTAACCCACAACTCTTTTTTTAATAATTATTTTATTAAATAAACACAGACCGTCCTTATAGGGCATATACAAATCATACAGTCATACAAGGAAGGATGTCAACAGGGAGACAAGAGTCTGACTGTAGAACAGTGCAAATGGTGACGCACCCATAATCAAAACAAAAACAAACACTTTGGGAAAAAAAAAAGAGACAGTCCCTTGGTGACGTGCAGTTATTGCTCCTGTTGAAGAAAACAGAGACAGGTTTCATGAATTGTCATTTACATAACCAGCGATACAGGGTTGTTATTGAGAGTTAGAAGTGGGGAATCAATTCCTTAAATGATTTAGTTTTAGTGGTCTTATCTCTTTCTCTAGAAAAAATAGAAATAAATTCAGTATTTTTATTTATTTTTATATATATACACACACACACACACACACACACACACACACACACACACACACACACACACACACACACAGAGACTGAAATTATGCCAGCATTATACACATTTCAGACTTTATGAAATCTACTGGTATTTATAACGATTATAACAATTTAATCAATTTTTTCCATGGACAAACCAACCTTATCGCCTCTGTGCAGCATATAATGTGACCTCAGGTTATTCTGACAATTGGCATACGCCATGCCGAGCCCTGCTCCCGAGCCAAGTGAAATTGGCCATGTGTGCCCTATAATTGAGAAAGATGCTTTAGATTATTTTCAAACACTCAAGCACTTTACAGCATGATTAAAAACAGATTAGAGATGGTGTGCTACAGCCTTTCACCCTGTAGCCTTTTTCCCCCCATCGTAATTACCTCAATTTTTAACATGCTTCTTTAAAAGCTTTTTGGGCCTTTTGCTGTCTCCGTAACAAAGGCACATCATTTTCCTACATCTAAAATCTGAAATGACTATTGTCTGTGGACAAAAAAATACATCTCATCTATTCGCAGTAAAAGACAGCCATATGTATGTGTTACTGTAACGGGAGTAGAACATTACTGCAGCCATGCTTTTTTTCCTCAAGGACTTTTGAGCAAAAGGAGCTGATCTAGATTCAGTAAAGCAATTAAACTACTTACGTTTGAAGAACAGAACAGAAAACACAATGCCTAACCCCAGACCAGTGCCTGAGAGACAGAAAAAAAACAGCTGTTAATGTATTATTTATTTATACAGCTACTTTGTAATGCTTATTTGGTGTATATGATGTCATCTGCTGCCTTTGGTTAATGTACTTTTAATCATCATTTGATCTATGCTGTATGATTAGTCTAAGAGCAATATGTCCCCACTCTTTTTTCTACAAGATGGTTTAAAAAAAAAAGACATTTCATGTTATCTTGCCACAGCATATAAGAAGAGTTTTACCGTCTTAATACACAGTCTCTTTAAAATAAAGTGGGCCTGCTTGGCGTAAACCTACCTATTCTTCACCGCACCTAACTCCATTCAAATATGCATCAATTTATGGATCTGGATCTTTGCTTCTTAACAGTAAGTGCATGGCCCTGTTACGTTAGGCACCCCCTGGCCAGGACCATCTCCTTAGATCAAAACTTATTTTACTAGATTATCCAACTTTTCCCCTACTATCTGACGCCGTTTCTTGTTTACTCTTTAAGTTCTGGAAAAGCGAAAAGAGTTAGCGAAACAGCAGAATAGCTCAAATGTGAATAACCTAAACCATTGGTTCTGTTTTATATATATATATGCCGAATTAAGAGGGGGACAGAAATATCTTGTAAAATTCTTTAAGTTGCGTACTAGAAGACGTGTCCGTATTAATCAGCGATTAAGAATTAGGTTGACATTTTCTTAGCAGCGTTTGCACTGGGCTAAGTGAAACGCATAAAAAATGAGCGAGAACATCAAAGGCCAAATATCTTGAGACTTTAATAAAATGACAGAGTATACCCAATCGTAACTGTATGTATTTAAAATAAACAAAGCATAAAAAAATGACTGGTTATTCAGTTGTCCTTTACAAGCCCTTATGGCTAGCTACTTAGCCTCTCGCCCAGTCAATGACAGCTGTGGATTTCAATATAAACTGCTTCTTAAGTGGCCCTTGTTTTGGTACAGGACAGTATCGTTACGATTGAGAAACTGAAGCATATTTACCTAATTTAATGGCACCGTCTGCTAAGCATCGGTCCCACTTTTTCCCCAGCTCTTTCTCAGACATACTGAACATTAGCTTGTGGCAGGCTAGAACTAACAAATGCACCTCTGCGTGATGCTTTCACGTGTTGTCGGAAATATATCCCTAGGGTTACGATTTAAACGCAGAAGAATAAACGACAACACTGAAAATTCTATGATTTTACAAGTGATTGGTTTAAACATTCACCCTTTACCGCCTTGGTGTTACTGACAGAACTTATGTTAAGGAGGAAACATTTAAAAAACTAAAGAAAGCCAAGTAACGTCTTTTCTTTGAAAGCAGCATTGAAACTCTTGCAAACCTCGCGATAGGTTATACCCCAACAACTGAATGGCGCCAGCTTGCGGTAAAGAAAGGATTATCCCAAACAAGTCACTTTGGTCCATACAATATCCAGCAAGCTGTACAGTAAAAAAGTTTGGAAAAAAGAAAACAAAACCAGGCACGCTGTTATGTATAGCAAACTTTCTGAGTTTAATTTGACACAAATCAGTACACTGTCGTGAAGTCATCTAACATGATTTCCTAAGACGACAAAATACAGTTTCTGACAACATACAGCGTACAAACATAGTATCCATTACACAAAAAAACACCTTGGCATGTTTGAAAGTGTTCTCACTAACAAAGATGTGCCATTAGCTGGTATGCAATACTCTGAATCTGCAAACTGTACAACTTGTGTCTAACACACAGAATTAAGGTACCAAAACATGAAAACCATGTTATATATTGAGACTTTATCAAACATATCAAACCCAAAACATCACAACAAAGGTTCCACTGTTACTCCTCAGCAGGCAAAGTGTAAAACAGCCAAAAGTTCTCTTATTGGCAGCAAGCACAGCTTCTTATATGGTGTGGACTACAATTTGGCTTCTTAATAGATTTCAAGTGAACTCAAAGGTTGGGCTGGTTTTGGGTGCTTTACTCACTGTGAAAGTTTGTGTGTGTGAACAGCAGAGGTAGAAACTGTATCCTTGGAGAATAAAAGTGTCTTTGGCTAAAAACTAAAGAAATCACCTTTGCTTTTACTGCCTTTGCTGCAGTACATGTGTATCGTGGGTGCTAACCTCATGCTGGACTGCATTTCATTACATGTAAAAAAATAAAATTAAAATAACAATATCTATAATGAACACAGGTGAAGACACAATCAGCCCCCTCTCCTGGTCCTGTGGAACCTCATCCCAGCTGTACTTCAGGTCACTCGGTGGACCCTGGCAGAGGAGATTCTTCTCCTTCTTCTGCTGCTAGTGACTGGCTAGTTGTCTTCACAGAGCTCTTGCTGATTTCCAGGAGATCGCGCAGCTCCTTGTTCTCAATCTGAAGGTAGAAAATGTTTTTTTCAAACATAACTTTTGAAGTTAAATATCTCTTCCTTATAACATGCATGTGCTTCCCCATGCAAGCAGGTTTTGAATGAAAATTGTGATGGATGCATCGCATCTTCTCTTTTAAATAGTGTTACTGTTTATTTGTGATAGAATTTTTTGCACTTTGGCAGTGTTGGGGGAAGCAGATAACCAAAGCAAATACAGACAAATTAAAAAGAAAGTACATCGTCTTTTATTTCTCAGGTTTTATCAATAAGACCTAATAAGAAGAAAAAAAAATGATGAGTTCCTTAGCAAGTACTAAAATTATTTAAATACAGCCCCAGATGAACAATAACTCATGTCATTATTTATTTAATAAAAAGAAGCATCGTGTAAAAACTTGTGTACGGTCATTACAATGTTGCTTCAGCACACTGAAGATCACGATTATTCGTTACGGTCCCACCAGTGTTCCAGCTGAGTTGAGGTTTGGACCTTGACTGAAATATTAAAAAGCTGTGATTTCCTTTTTGTCAGCCATTGTGCTGCAGATTTGCTGCTGTGCTTGGGATCATTGTCCTGCTTTATGAGTCAGTTTCAGCCAAGCTTTAGCCATCAGACAAGACTTCCCTCATTTGACTCTAGAATACTTAGGTACGCAGAGGGATTTTCGGATGATTCAAAGAGTTCACGGTGCTCAGGTGCAAAACAAGCCCTAAATTATCGCAGCTCCACCAGTGTGTTTGACAGTTTTCACTGAATGAGCTGCTGTGTGTTACAGCCAAACATTTCCACACTGGTCTGGTCTGTCCAAAGGACAAACTTTATGCCTTACAGTTATGCAAAACTAACAATGCTGCCTTGTTTTTTTTTTGTTTTTTTTATTAAAGGAAAGAGGATTTTTTTTCTCCCTTTCATTTAACGTACTAACATAGCCCTGTAGAGTCTAAGCTGTAGCTCTTGGATTTTTAGCCATGAGCATTAAACAGTCTGTGGCTGAATTAGCTAGAACAACCACTCCTGGGAAGATAGCTATTGTTCTGAATGCTTTTATTCATTTATATTCTTAAATACACATTTGTTACCGTTTGGGAAAATGTACCTTTTCAACAAACTTTACAGTTGTAGCATATTTAGAAAACTCACAAAAGGTTATCACAAAGATGGCACAGTAAGAAATCTAACCGACTGGTTTAAAAGGCCTAATAAACCCCCAAACAAAACAACATGCTCCTTGACCTGATGCACTAAACCTAGCCATTCCACTAAAAACTGACAACTCAGCTCTCATTTGCATTTATGATCCTCTATTATCGTTGCATCATTTTGACACAGAAGCTGATGTCTGAGGTCTGTGGTAAAATCACATATTTTTCCACAGACCTCAAGAGGAAAGGTGTCATTGTGTCCATGTATAACTGCATTTCTCACCTCTAGCTGAGCAAGCCTCTCTCGAACACAGCAATAGTGCTTATCATCCACCTGCACTGCTCTTCTCATCACCTGGCCCATCTCGCATATCCGTTCCACTTGGCTCTGCACTTCCTGGAGAAGAGTCAGAAATCAAGTTGGTTGTTTTTATTTTAAATTTGTGTGTCTATGTATTTGGAATCATAGCCCATTAAACGTGTGAGCAAATTAAAGAAATGCAGAGTTGATGTACTTTGGCATGGTCCTCATGGAGGCTGAGCACAGGTTTGGTGTCCAGCTCCTTCTTTGCCATCATCAGCTGGAGCACATGCTTGCGATACCGACACATGATCAACTCGAGCGCGTACTGGTGTTCTTCGAGCGACACCCATAGTTCTACAAAGACATAAAAAGTGTTAATACTGGTATATAAAACCAGCCAGTCAGCAGAACCTTTTTTTTTTTTACCTTTATTCTCCCGCTGCAGTTCCTTGATTTGAGTGTTTTCCTGAGTCAGAAGGACATGAGGTTTGTATTTCGTGAGCTCCTGTATCTCTGAACTGTCATCTGTGTGCTGAGAAAAGAGCAGAGAAGAAACAGATAAAGAAGACTTTAGCGAACGCATATCACGAAAGCATATCCTAGATACGAGGGAAACTCGCTTTGTAGTACAGGTCACTGTTTAACTAGTTCAATGTGTAAACCAAGCAGTAGTGCAGCTTTTCATAAACGTGAGCTATCTGCTCGAGTTTACCTTGTCTGGCAGAGCATTTCCCACCTCTCTCATGCCCTGCACTCTCTGATTTAGGGCCTCGGACTGCTCTATCAGTCCCTCGGCGGCTGTGTCGTGCTCTTTTAGCCTCTCGAGAAGGGTCCGAGTATCGGCCAGCACTTTTTCGAAAGTGCAGGCCATTTACTGAAAAGTGACAGCTCTTTTTACGCTACGTAGAAAAGCTACTACAAAACTAGCTAGTCGAGCGAAAACAACTCGCAGCCGTTGTTTAGCTGGGCTAAATAACCTTAGCCGAGGCAGCTCGGTGCCATTATAGAAACATAAATATCCTTACTGTTTCGCTATTTAACTAATGTTGTATCGGCAGACAGGGCAAGTACCAGACACCCAGATCAAAATATTACTACATTACTAGAATATTACTGCTTCAGAAACTGACGTTTCCGTGTAGAACTAAACTGTTAGCGACGCTTCCTTCTTCGTCTTCTTCTTCTTTTCCTCCTCCTCCTACTTTTGGTGAATGGTCAAACCAACGTTGAGTCGCCACCTACTGGGGTGGAGTGCGGTGTAGACGTTTGGCACACAACCAAAAGCGGGGTAAATGGCTAAACCTATCTAGCTTGTCTTTAAAATATCTTTACATAAAGATATCTAAAAAAAAGAAAAGAAAAAGAAAAAATGATATTGTTTCTCCACTGTTCAACAGTTGTATGTTACACCAAATGAACAACATCAACAACAACAACATAATTTTAAAAATTATCAACATTTCAAGTAAAAATGTAACGTAAGCCACTTACAGTGTTGAAAAAAATATTACTATCGGGTAATTTCAAAGTGAGTGAAGGGCTGAGTTGAGTTGATGCATTATGTTACATTTTCCTATGTTGGGTTTTTGTGCAACGTGTAGTCTCAGAAACTCTCCTGTATGGGGAGAAAACTTAGTTATGGCGACACCTATTCAGTTTAGTTATCTAATAAATGGCATGATAGTTATTATTTACTCATTAATCGAATAATTAATGGGTTTATTATTTATTGAACTCGACTGGATTACTCTTACATATCTGTTTTCCAGTCTAGACAGCGAGGTAGATAAAATGTTGACGTTACTATAACGCAAATGCCTCCCATCTCTCTTTGCGGCGGTTTCTTATCAGCGCCTTGCGTAGCCACTCTTCGCTTTAGGATCTTTGGTCTACCTAGTATCGTCAAATATCGCGTTAGCCGCCTCCCTATCTCTACGCAATGTGCCGTGCTGCTTCTAGCGGCGCTGGTGACAGTGCTGAAAGCTGTTGGGGTGAGTTTTTAATATTTTATCCCTTTTAGCAGAAGAATTTAAGCGTGTACTGGTAATATATCAATAATAGTTTTCTTTTTTGGTCAGTGAGTACTTAGAGGTGAATTGGTGAGTCAGCGCTTAGTCGTACGCACAGTTCGGGCCTGGGTGGGGGCTGCCTTGTTACAGCTCCACATAAATCACGCGAGGGCCGAGGAGTACAACGGCATGCTAGCTAACGGTAGTCGCTACTAGCTACTTAGCATTGCCAATGGCCTAGTTATGCTGTCGAAGGTATAAATAAACAGGCGCGTGATGTTTTTTCTAAGACGTATTAGAGTCTGGCGAAGAAACAGCACGTGTGTAAAATGAATGTGGTTTACTTTGGAGACAAAAATGGCATTTAAATAGAATTAAGCACGAGGCTTATATCTAGCTTCTTTGTTGTTCCGTCCTCGTGCCGTTAACGCCGATAATGTTATTATTGCGTTATCGACGTAAAGAAATGAATAAACTGAGTGTCTATATTTAACGTTGTTCTTGACTGGCAAGAAATTAAAATGTAAATAATTATAAGTACTTTTTAAAGAACTGTCCTGGTGTCGGCAGTCACTTTTGGCATTGTCTGTTCTTAACTCTATTGTCCGTTTAGCTTAAATAGCCCGTGTTGCAGGTTGGCGTGTGATACGATCCAGTTCTAAAAAACGTCTCCATTAAAATATGATTTCCAGTTTAAAAAAATTCTTTATAATCAGTCCCAGCTAAATTAATACATAGAAATTCTATGTATTTTGACTAATGGCCGAAACCACATTAAACATTAATGTGAAAGAGAAGTCGAAATGCTATCTCTATGTACAGTGTACAACGTTGAACCGTTGCTTAATTACCAGCAAACTTTATGTTCAAGGACTCCAAGCCGCACAGGAGTTAAGTCATCAGGTAATTACAAAAGAACTGAATGCGTTTTAGTTAAAGAAATTCTTCATCATTAAGTGTTGCTAAAGACAGTGGAGTAGTAGCTGTTTACGACGATTAGCATCGGCGAATGTTAATCTGTCAGGTTCTGTTTGTCCACACAAGGTCAGTAAGACATCCTTAAATGTGATTGTGCCGGGTTACTTTGCTTAATGAGCAGAACAGAACTAAAGGAACGAAGTTTTAACGAACTATATTTTAGTTTGTGTGTTTTGAAATCGACTGGTTAGACGTAACGTTCGCGATGGCGTTGCATACCGAAACGTGTTGGATCAGGCCTTGTTGGCAGTTCCAGCTGAGGATAGCGGATTGCTGAGAAGTCACATGGTGGTTCCTGTCGGGGCGGTTGTTTTGTTTGCCCAGAGAAAAGACTGTCGTTTAATAAATGTCCAATCATAAGAGGTATCTTTCCCACTCGTGTTATTAAATAACAAACAGACAAAACTGTAGTTTGGTCCCAATTTAAATAATAAATAAATAAACAAAACAAAAAAACCATGGTTAAAACGGCCGATCGCTGCTAGTTGTGTCGTGAGTTGATTTATTTATTTTTTTTCTCGTTTCCTGCGAAATAAAAAGCAGAAAAAATCGTAGATGCCACAGAAGCTGTCTTCGGTTCCTGGCTCATAACCTTTAATACACTTATGCAGTCAACCTTGTAGCAATCACATTTGAGCCTTTTAACAACGTCATATTCTAACCTAGTGGGATGTAAGAAGGGAGACATTGCAACATAGTCACAGCAGAATAGATATCATGTGTCCTTGGTTGGCTCAGCTATCTTGTTTTCAGAGCAGGGTATTTAGGTCAACAACATCCTGCTCTGGTGTGCTGTATGTTACTTGGAGTTTCTGGAAAAAAGTTTTGTTTTTTTTTTTGTTTTTTTTGGGGGGGGTGGTCATACACATGTTACAATGCTTTGTTTGATTGCCAGATTAGCCCCTGTGAAAATGTTTACAGTGGTGTGCATGCAGAACAACTGGGGGGCTGAATGATGAAACAGAGGGCCTTGGTCTGAAATGTTGCCATAAATAACATAGCCTGAACTGACGGTATGCACAAGGACTTGTTGATCCAAAGTACTTGTCAGCTGCCTAGCATTGTATCTAGAGGCATTTGAGGAAAGCTTATTTTTGTACTTGAGTGCGGCTAAAGAATCAAATGTTCCAAAAAACCTCAGGCTGATGGTGCTTGGGGTTTTTACTTGTTTTCATGTGACAGAATAGTCGTATTAGCTGACAGTGTAATTACATTTTTCTCTCTCACTACAGACTCATGGAGCCCTTGGGCCATTTTGTATTTAACCTAAATTTAGATCAGTGGAGTTGGTGATAAGTTTTCATCTAACCAGATCTTCTTTTTTTCTTCATCCCCCTTCAAACAGTATGAAGTGAAACCGAACTGAATTTTTGTACCATCCGCAACTGCTTCAAGTTCAGATCAAATCAAAGAAACTGAAGACAAACCTCCCAAAACAAAGTCAACACTGAAGAAGCGTGGGTGAAAAAGGATCACTTCAAGGATTTAAACGCAAGAAGTAACCAAATCCTGAAACGACCAAAGAATACGCACATCATCCCAACTGCGAAGTGGAAGAGAAGCAAACTTGCGCCCAAGCATATTCTGAGAAGACCAGAGTTGATCTGAAACCAGAAGTTTGTGCCTACTCAACAGCTTTGACAAAGCACACGTCCCAACGCTGCTCCTAGCCCTCCTCATCCTCACTACACCGCCGACTCACCACCGGGGTGTGGAGTGGGCTGCTATCTGCTAGTTGTTGTTGGTTTTTTTTGTTTTGTTTTTTTCCTTTTCCCCACTCCCATAGCTTCCTTCCCCAACTTAACCCTTTTTTTTCCCTCCTTTTTCCTGAGCAGTGTTTTTTGCACCTGCCTTTGCCTTTTTGTTTTATTTTTGCTCTAAATTTCCACCCCCTTTTTTTTTTTATTTTTTACTTTATGCAACATCTAGAACTTGTGCCAGAAACTGTAACAAGTGTGCGTGTTCAACTGTGTGCGTGAAGAGGTCCACAAAAACTGCTAGTTCATCAAAATCCTGAGAGATACAAGATACAAGGCAACCAATAAAGGTAGGTCTCAAGTCAGTTAATGCCCTTCATAGCGTGTTTTTGATGGCTGTAAATGTACTTCTGGTTATGCCACACGTTTTGCTCATCATTACCTCTCTGTATTATTAGGTTTATTAGTGGCCTCTTTTGGATTGTAATATTCTTATAAAACTGGTATCTGATTCAGAATCTGCATTTGTTAGATGCACTACATGATTCACACATGCTTTAAAAACAGATTGTATAACACTTACCATTGCACTGTTTTGGGGCAGTATACCGAGGATGTTGTTTATTCACATTTCTTTTTTTCCCCTCAGTCACTAAAAACCAATGCGTTTTCATCTTTGTCAAAGTTATGCAAACTAAATTATTTGTTTTGGACCTCATTTAAATTTCTCTTTGTAGGACAATATTTTAAGCTGTTGTTTGCAGCAGCCAATTCCAAGCTACCGCAGTGCTTGGTTAGACTTGAATCTTGCGTACTTATTGCTTTCTCCATGTGACATCACATCCTTTTGGTGGAGTGAGTGCAGGAAATGATACTTGATGTAAAATTTTGATTTGATCTTAGTGACCTCTACATTGTCCTTTTGTTAAAGATAACTTTTCTGAAAATGTGAAAGAAGCCAGCACCACTGAGCCACCACCACCTCCAAATACTTGAAGTAGTCATTCAGTTTTGTTGGAAAATGATTTACTTGCCTTCCCTTACCTGATCCACACTCTTCCTATTTTGTCGTTCTCAGGCCATACCCCCCCCTCCCCCTCCTTTTTTGCCTTCTTTCCCCCCCCTTTTGTATCCTCTCTGGGGATTAAAGCCTGCAGCTATTTTCCTTTTTGTTTGTGACACTTGGCACACTGGCTGACTTGCCTTACCTATTATGTTTGTTCCTCTCTTCACCCTTGCAGACATCCAGCGGTGTATCATTGGGTGGTTGCATAAGAATAGTATTTAACACTCAAGCAAAAAAATCCAACAAAAAACAAAAACTTATATCAAAGTTCAGCAAGTGCTCAAGCAAGTTTTGTTCAAGTTTATGGGAAAATATGGGCAGCCCCTGGAAAGGCTTTGTTGAGTTTACCTTGCCTGCGTCGCCACCCACCGCGTTTGTTAGCGCTGACCTGAGCAGCACCTCCCCTGTCGGACTCAGCCTGTCGCCATATGGCCGATCCGTAAGTTTCACCTTCCCACCTTTCT